GGATTTCTTCTAAAGGACAATCTAAAATGAGAAGCAGAGCAGCAAGCAGTTCTAACACAGTCTCTTGACAAAAAGAACATGAAGGAAACACCCAGGCTACCTTTCCCATCCGCAGCATCAGGAAGACAGTTGCAGGGTGAGACTAATCTCCAAGAAAACAAAAAAATTAACCTTGGCACGTTCGTAAACCCTCCAAACGCTAACCAGAGCATCACTGCGCATCTCCCCCGATGATCCAGAAGTGTCCAATTGTCTACTGAGCAGATGGAGCTCTTGGAACATAGGCTTTGGAATCAGTCTCCCCCCACCCAAACCCCTTGTTTTGAACCATCTGGAGACTGAAGCTATATACTGAAGGTCAGAACCAAGGAAATCAGTGCAAGGCATAAAGGGGAAGGAGCAGAATGGGTCAAAGTCCACAAGCTTTGCATAGGCCTAGCTGAAAGTAGGAGTCATGTCCTTTGCTAAGTCCTCTGTGATGAGATGATATGAGTATTTTTACTTATCTCCTTCGATCAAAACCTAAGCTCTCAGTGGAAGCAACATATCTGAGCTGTTAGAGAAGCTGGGGACAATCAGGTTCTAAGAAAGCTTGGCTTTCTTCAATGGCAGAAGAACGAACAAATGCCCTCATATTTATGCTTAGAGAATTAAGAAATATGAACAGCATATCTGTTCAGGAGCTTCACTCCAGCAATGGACCTAAGTGTTTGGAGTCATAAGTAGGCATATCATGGAAATTTTGCACAACCATAACTTGCAAGAGGAACATTTCCTCATTCAAATTCAACAATTACCGAAGCAAACATTATTTCATGTCTATCGCCATGGGACCAAATCTCAAAGGCAGCAATCTCATTCAACATTAAGAAACAAAACACCACTACAGATGTGGCTCCTCCTCTCTCATCCCTCTCCTATTTTTCTCTTTATTTCTTGTATTTAATAGACCAATACCTGCCAAAGGAAATTAAAGACTGCAAAAAGACTTCGCCCATGAGAACGTCGTTCCCAGGACTAGACTTGGGGTGCCTTGCCAGTGCCTCAACCTCAGTCAAAGGCTAGGGCTGAAAGAAGACCATGCAAGAGGGAGGTATATGATTTTCATTGTTCTCTGCTCACTTTTGTTCTGTTGGGGATGCATCATTTTAATCCTTTCTCCAGGTGGAATGGGGCTAGATGTCAGGAGAAACTGAGAGCTGCCAAAAGTATTCTCCCACCAAGGAATTCATCTGGGCTCAGCCCTGGATGTCTTGCTTAGGCATCAGCTTTTGGTAAGGATTATCACTGACATACCTTTAATTTATCCTTAGCATACAGAGGTCAAAATTATGCGTCCCTAGCAAAGAAAAGTGAGCAGAGAACGTGGGGAAAAAAAAAAAAAAAATCACACATCTCTATCCAAGTCACTTGAAAATTGTTTCTTTTATGTACATCGGAGATTGAGGATATCAAAGCAATAAGCTTTGTCATAAAACTATGCAAACTTCTCCCTGTTGTGAAGAGCATCCCTTCCATTTCTGTTAACTTCTTTAGCTTGCACTGTAACACATGATGGTAAAGCTCAGCTATCCCCTTGAAAGGTGTCTTGCTTAATATACTTATGACGTTAACTGTTTCATTGCTCAGTTTTCCCTACCTTCTTCCTCTCATGTCAGTCAGTCTGAGTGGCTGAAGACGTAAGAGCAGCCACACAGGGTTCAACCACAGGTCTGTTAAACCTCTCTATGCTGTCTCTGACGGCAGCCAGATGAAAGCATAGAGCAGAACACCACCAATTTGGTCTTCTCAAAGCCACAGCCTCACTGAAACGTCTTCCTTTCGTCAAGGTTTCCAAATTGTCCAAATTCATTAGAATCTCTTCCACAGTATTTAATTTTTATTTTTGCTATCTGTTCTCTTTCATGAGAAACACAGTCAGTGAGGTACAAATCTACAACCAAAGATACCTACATACAATTATAACATGCAGAGACACAAGTTCACGTATGAATGTATTTGTATGTGCATCAAATCCAAGATGGATTTTCTCTATTACTGCAGTTTGCTTTGGAAAAAACATTTCGAACCTAAACTTAATGCTTTGTGTATCCAGAGCGGCCTGATTTATTTCAATGGTAAACTGCTGTTCAATCAGTATTTCTGGAAAAAAAATGCTCTAAAACACTGAATATCAGTTTACACTGGAGCACTGAATAACATTTAAGCCACCTTGTTGGTAGGAAAGAGTGCCTAGAAAAGATCCTATGAAGCCCCAATTCAGCCTAAATTAAAAAAAAAAAAAAAAAAACAAAATCACTATAGAACTGGAGTAAGCCAATGTAGGTAATTTACTGGAGGCCGAGCTGGTACAGCTTCTGCGAAGGTAGAAATTATGTCCCTTTCCTAAGGTTCTCAAAAAGTTTAATTCAAACAGTAAAGGAAGGTTTACGTTCCATGATCTTTTAATGAAGTCCCTCATAAAATATTAGCAAAGACAGACAAAATTGATTCTTGAAAAGAACTGTTAAGATCACCTCCAACCAGCTGACTGCAAGGTCCCACTTCAACCCATTACCAACCATTTAACACAATTATTTAAGAATGGCCCTTCACAACGAATGCCACAAATGGCAAATAAAGGATTTTGAAGATTCCAGGTTACATTATGTGAAAAGAGAGCTCTCTCCCTCTTTCAAAGTTGCTAAGACCATCTGCCTGGTTATTCAGACAGCCCAAAAGACAGTCCAATATTTGGACTTGACCTCAAACAGACAAGGCTCTGAAGTCTGTCACTTCCCTGCTCTGGCAGATTTTGTGCCATTTGGTTCATTTAAAAAAAAAAAAAACCAAAAAAACAAAAAAAAAACCACCACACACAAAAACAAAAGACCTCAAAAACCTGTTGGCAATGGTATCACCACCCAAAAAGAGTGTTGCTGAATGTGGGAGATGAGTTTGTGACATGCAGCCTTTTGCAATCTGAACACCACACATTACTGTCCAGCATCCCTGCAAGAAAATCCCTTGAGAAAGGGAGTCTCTTAACTATGAAATGAAACATCTTTAGCAATCAAGACATACCTTGCATACCCAAAATCTTTCCTGAAACACATTGCTTGACCACCTTATTTCTGATATCTGATACCATATAGACAAAACCTGAAAACAGGTTTTCAAGTTTCTCCACTTTATTGCCCAAGCTTCTTGCATTTTTGGTCTTCTTTCCAACCACACACAGATTTTTTTTTTTTAGCCCAATTATAAGTAGTTCTTTCCATAACTGGATAAATCACCAGTTTTCATCAGTATTAGTGATAAAAAGTGGCACTTAATGAACCGGACAGTATGTTAAATCCTCTCAAGGGATCGAGAGCAGCCCTGCCGAGAAGGACTTGGGGGTACTGGTGGACGAAAAGCTGGACATGAGCCAGCAATGTGCACTCACAGCCCCGAAGGCCAGTCATACCCTGGGCTGCATCAAAAGAAGCGTGGCCAGCAGGTCAAGGGAGGTGATTCTGCCCCTCTACTCTGCTCTGCTGAGACCCCACCTGGAGTACTGCGTCCAGCTCTGGAGCCCTCAGCAGAAGAAAGACACAGACCTGTTGGAGCGGGTCCAGAAGAGGG